AACTACGTGTGAGGCGGGACTTGCCTGGGGGTCCTCCTCAGTCTCCTCTGGGGGGGGAGGAGGAATGGGAAATGCATTCTGGGAATCAAAGTCAACAGCCAACGATGGGTGTGGAAAACGAATCGGGTACTCAACACCCAAGTTCCACAGGTGTTTCAGGTAACAGTTCTTGGGAAAGGGGATACACAGACACCCCCACACACACTCCAGCCTGGGAGTCCCACTGGAGGTATACTAACTATCCACCCCTAACAAACAATACTCCAGACACAGAGAATACCTGGGAGCATACTCACAACTCACAACATGCAAGAGAGCAGGCAAAACAAAGGGGAAACACGGCCCGTGCTGACATGGCTCATAGGAGGATGTCCTCACGCATCCGGGCTAACAGGGAGGCATCCCTAGACCCTTTCACTACAGAAAGAAGCCAAGACACCCACACTCCGTCAGGAAACATGGAACTGAGTTCAGAGGGGTTAGGCAACTCCATGGTGGGTAGGTCAACCAGGTTTAGCGATCGACAAGGTCCTGACTGCTCGATCCCAGGTGAGGGACAGAAAAGTCAAACAGGAGTCACCTGTCAGCCACAAGGCACTTCACCTAGTGCGAGGAGCAACAGGGAAAACAATACAAGTTCCCCAAGTCCGAGAAGGTCACAAAGGGAAAAAGGCCCTCCCAAATACCTAGCCGATTACGTAAGGTGAGCAGGTGAATAGCATTGATTGAACTAGGGGTCCAGGCCGGTGGACTCTAAGGGAACAAGGTTGGGGCCACAGGGTCTATGTACGAAGAAACAGCCCCACACCGTATGACACTGTGTGATATGAACTCAACTGTTAATTATATAACCATCTCAAGGATGGCGTCCATGCGGGCGCAGTATCATTTCATCTAGGGGGAAGGGGTGTTGTCTCCTGAGCCTGCAAAGGCAGGCTCGGGATGTTGCAAGAGTCCCGGGCAATTGCAAGAGCTGCCCGAGACCAGACTGAGTGGCGCCGGCCTTGCGCGCATGCGGGAAATGACTGCATTGCGATTGGTTGAGTTTGCCCAGGAATCTGCAGGTATAAATAGAGGCCTGCGTGCTTCTGCTCGGGTTGTTCGTAGAATGGAAGCAGAGAATAAAGACTTGTTATAAATGCTTTGTCTCAAGCGCCATTATTCTCCGGACTTAACACACAGTATCTCTGTTTCTCTCACACACATACTCCAATTCAATCAGTTAGTACACATAGTCTTGTGTCTCACTTGGTTTTTCTTCTTTTTCTCTCCCTTGCAGAATGAAGATATTGCCTAAACAAGAAACTTTTTCCCAAGCTGTTTTATCCTCAGCTCAGCAGATCCCTAAAAAGTGCTAATGTATAGCTTGATGTATGTGTGCCCTATGTGTTCCTGTTTACTCTTTTCCTCTACAATAAATGTAAATAAATTCATTAATTCTCTTCTTGTAAATTATTCTAGTGCAGAGGTAAGCACTAGGGGGGTAAGGGCACAGGAGTATGAAAAAAGGGCTATAAGATTTTCTCTTTAACCAACTTCCCTGTAAGTTCTGGAAGCTTTCCTCCCATTTGGGTTCACCTAGCAATTTGGGGTCATATCCTTCTGATGCTATAAAGGAAAGGAAAAATGAATTAAAATAATAAGCACAGTAGCGGTCACATGACTTTTCATTTAACAACCATTTCAGTTAATGACTGAATTGCCAGTCCCAATTGCATTGGTAAAAGGGGACTACCTGTGATATTCTTGTGCATTAGATCATGCAACGCTAAAGATCCTGAAATATGCCTTTTGAGGAGGAAAATAATATCATTTAGGAATATAAGGTTTATATTTTAATGGTGCTTTTTTAATAGAACAGGTCTTGGAGTGAGGAGTCAGAAGAGAAATATTAAACATAGTTTATATTTTGGCTCAAGAGGCAGATATACATGTAACAGATCTGCTAAACATGAATTAATAAATTTTATTAGTGGGGTGAGGAAATTCTCATTTCAGTTTCGCAATACGCTTAGGCATTATTTGTGCATGAAATATCTTGATGTCTGACATTTTTCCCTTCTATTTGAGATTTGTATTTTGCAATCTTCTTTGTTGATCTTCCTTCTTGTTGCTATTCTTTAATTGATACTGGAGTGTAATGTTGATGATTGATTAGTACTCTTAATATGTTTACTGTAACTATAAACTGCTGTCAACTATAAAGTATTAAAACAAATTGATATATTTTGGTTTAAATATTGGTTGTGAAATCTGACATATTTGCTTACTAAGAGGTCAAGTGAATTGAGTTACATTTGTGTTATTTTCTTTATTATTTTGGTAGAAAGAAGTTAGAAGCAAAGATTGAGTAATTGACTATGTGCCATTAAGCCATTATAGATTTTTAGTGACCACATAGATTTTCTCCATGACAATCTCTCCCTCACTTGAATGTCTATGAAAATTTTCAGTCATCCAGCTCTTAGTTGTATCAAAAATGTTTTATTTTGTTTTTTGAAAAGGCAACTGGACTGAATTTTTTTTTTAAGAAAGAAGAAGTTTTCCTTCCTATCCTGGAAGATTCATCAGTTGCATTGGATGGTGTGGGAGATGGAAGGACAGTTATTGACAGTTGAGATTAGTTGGTGAGAGGGGGAATGATATGTTCTGACAGGATGGTGTGGGGATGGGAATGGAAAGATTTTCTTTTCCCTCTTTACTGGTAGGCAAACTTTCAGCTCAGTGGTATAGGGTTCTGATCACTACCATCTTGTGTTCCAGTGGGTGGTGAGAATTAAAATGCAAATACTGATCAGTGTATGTTGGTTTTCTGTAAACTTCAATGTTAAGGTTTCTGCCTTCCATAAGGTGCACAGCACCATTTGGGAAAGCTATACAGTTAACATCTTTTCTTATGAACTTAATGTATGAATCCACAGAGTTGATGTGTTTGGTGAAGGACTCCACTTCCTGAGTTTTAATATTGACTCAAGTATCATCCACATACCTGTACCAGTGAATTGGTGAAAATTCTGGGAATGAGTTTAGGGCTTTGGTTTCTGCCTCTTCTATGTAGAGATTTGCCACAATGGGGGACATAGGTGAACCCATGGTGACGCTGTGTTTTTGTTTGTAGACATCTTCATAGTATTTATAATAGGTAGTGGTCAGACAGAGGTCTAACATGGCATATAATTGTTCTTGGCTGATATTAGTTTGGTTACCTAATGTGCTGTCTTGTATGATATGTTTTATATGTCTTGTATGTCTTAGAAATGATAATTTCTAAGTAGATGCAGAAGCCTTTGCGCAAAGAGCCTGCTGGAACCTAGTATTCTAATTAATTTAGGAATCTTACAAGACATGGACATGTACAGCACCTGCTTCTGCTACTTGCTGTTCCTTGCATCAAATTCACAAAGATTCATAGTGTTCTGTTCTGTGCATTGGTAAGGCATTGAGACGAGGCAGGAGTAACAACAGTCGCTTCTTTATTTAATCTTCAACAGAACAACACAAAATGGCGCAGATCCCTTTTATACCCCTTTACAGGTAGCAGCATCAACCAATCAATGCAACGTATCATTCCCACCTTGTGCATGCGCAATAGGCTGGAGACAGCCTGTCTGGCCAGGGGAGCCACGTGTTCTGCCCGGGTCTCTCTGCAGCTTCCTGCACCTGCTGTGTCAATCACAGCCCAGGACATAACACATAGTATTTTAAATTCATTAATATTTAACCTGCCACAAGACTTTGCATTGTTGTTCTTCAGCAGACTAATACAAGTATCCCACGTAGTAAGACTACTTAAACATTTAAAGATAAATATTGCAATATATTTTTCCAATGTAGTTTTCTTAAAAAGGTAGATTGCAGCTAAATGCAGGAATGGGATATTTTTGACCTAAAAAAAAAACTATGTGCAGAAATAGTTTTTCAGTATATAGTTATGAATCATGTAAAAAAGATGCTGAGACTCTAGAAAGAGTACAGACAAGAGCAACAAAAATGATTAGGGGACTGGAGGCTAAAACATAAGGAACGGTTGCTGGAATTGGGTATGTCTAGTTTAATGAAGAGAAGAATGAGGGGGGACATGATAGCAGTGTTCCAATATCTCAGGGGCTGCCACAAAGAAGAGGGAGTCAAGCTATTCTCCAAGGCGCCTGAAGGCAGGACAAGAAGCAACTGGTGGAAACTAAGCAAGGAGAGAAGCAACCTAGAACTAAAGAGAAACTTCCTGACAGTTAGAACAATTAACCAATGGAACAACCTGCGTCCAGGAGGGGTGAATGCTCCAACACTGGAAGTTTTTAAGAAGAGACTGGACAGCCATTTGTCTGAAATGGTATAGGGTTTCCTGTCTGAGCAGGGGGTTGGACTCGATGACCTCCAAGGTCCCGTCCAACTTTTTTTTTTTTTATTATTATTATTATTATTATTATTATTATTATTATTATTATTATTATTATTATTATTATTATTATTATTATTATTATTATTATTATTATTATTATTATTATTATTATTATTATGTAAGTATATCACAACAAACTCAAGAGATTTTTTTATTGTAAATTCAGTTTGTCAGTAATGGATAACTAATGTAATTCCCATACCAGTACATTGAAAAGGAATCTCATATAAACTGTTTCAAAATTTAAAGAATACTTCCCTTACAGTATGTATGCATTGAAGGAAAGGCCATATGACTATTTGCTTAACTTTATATTTTGCTTTTCTAAAAAAATGAAAGAAGTCAAGATGTCCAATTCTGGCATTTTCCTACCCCTCCTTTGTGTGTGTGTGAGTGTGGGTGTGGGTGTTTGTGTGATTGTGTGTGGGGGGGGCTGAGGGCCAGAGGTACAAATCTCAAGGAGATACAAAGAAGTGTGATGGAGGTTAGATGTGGGCAACTATTAGTAGGTTGCTCACATTACTATAATATCATTATAGAGGACAGACTGAACATGTGTCATCTCTAAGTTCTATATAAGAGAAAAATAAGCCTTTGGTCTTCAGCACTTCCTTCTTATCAATTGTTCTCTCTTGTTCAGCTCTGGCCTCAAGAGAATAATATAACTTTTGGGGAAAAAAATAAATCCCAACAAACCAGCACTAGAAGCAAAGATGGAGAAGATTTCCACAGCAACCATGTATTTTCCTTTGGTGCTCAGATAGGTTGGAACAAAAGACAACCACACGCTGCAAAATACCAACATACTGAATGTGATGAATTTGGCTTCATTGAAAGTGTCAGGTAACTTCCTGGCAAGAAAAGCCACAGAAAAGCTGATAATAGCCAGAAAGCCCAGGTATCCCAGGACACAATAAAACATGACCATTGACCCCTCATTGCACCGCAGTATGATTTCTTCATTCACGGAATGCGTATCAACTTCTACAAAAGGTGGAGAGGTCCACATCCATGAAATGCAAATGCTTGCCTGAATCAGAGAGCAGAAAAAAAGGACCGAATTGGTCAGTCTTGTCCCCACCCACCTCCTCATCTTGGATCCAGGATGGGTGGCTAAGAATGCCAAAACTACTGTGATAGTCTTTGCCAGCACACAAGAAACTACAACTGAGAAGATGATGCCAAAAGCAGTTTGTCGGATAAGACAGGTCACCTGCTTAGGACGGCCAATGAACAAGTACACACAAAAGAAGCAGTGCAGGAGGGACACCAGAAGTGTGTAAGTGAGGTTTCGATTATTGGCTACAACAATTGGGCTGTTGTGATGCTTTAGAAATATTCCCAGCACCAGAGCTGTAATCAAAGAAAAGAAAAGAGCAAAGAAAGAAAAACCAATCCCAAGAGGTTCTTCATAAGATAAGAAACTTACATATCTGGGCAGACATAAATTTTTGTTTTTATTTGGATAGAATTCATTTCTGCAGATATAGCAATCTCTTATATCTGAAAAAGAAAAATACATGGTTTCAGTTCCTGTATCAAATCTATATACCAAACTGATGCCACAAAGCATAGTTACTAGGGGCCTTCTGGAAATGCTCTTTGCCCCAATCAGTGATCCAAGTGGGTCATTTTCAATCAACCTTTTTTTTTCTCTCAAGGGGATCCTAGAAATGTAATTTTATTATACTTCTTTATTTCAAAAAGTGATAGTTGACTCTCGCTATTATTAATTCTGATTACAGAACTATTCAAATATTAATATTGAAAAATCTTTTACCTGAATCTCTTTCTCATGATGATGATAACAATGATGATGATGACGACGACGGTGATCATGACCTAAGGATTTGTAGAGCTGTCTTTTTTCCCACTTCCCTAACCATTCTTTTTTTCTCTTCTCTACCATTCCAACAGAGAACATTAACCTAAATGTATGCATCATGCATCATTTACCCTTTCCTAAGGATCCCCTTTCTATTCAACACTTTCCTCTGAATTTTTCATCTCTGACAAAGGCAGAACATTACTGATTCATCATTTTATTTATATCCTACCTTTCCTTTAACAGTTAAAGGTGACATAGAGTACAGCTCTCATTTTATCTCCACAACAATGGAGACCCAATGGATAGGTCTATTTGAGAGAGAGTACAGATAGTCTTCGACTTACAACATTTTGTTTAGTGACAAAGTTATAACAGCACTGAAAAAAGTGACTTATGACCATGTTTCACACTTATGACTATTGCAGCATCCTGATGATCAAAATTCAGATGCCAAGCAACTGACTCATATTTGTGATAGTGCTGTGTCCCTGTACACTGCAACGATTATCGTAGATTCATACCTATAGTCATGTGATCCCCTTTTGTGACCTTCTGACAAGCAAAGTCGATGGAGATGCCAGATTTACTTAACAACCGTATTACTAATTTAATAACTGCAGTGATTCTCTTAACCAATTTGGCAAGAAAAGTGGTAAAATGGGACAAAACCCACTTAACAAATTTCTCACTTAACAACATAAATTCTGGGCTCAATAGTGGTTGTAAGTCAAGAACTACCTGTAATTAAAAATAACTTAGTAAGCTCTATGGTTGAATAAGGATTTAAAACATATTTACACAAGTCTACATCCAACATCTAGATATAGATATTTTCTGTACATAACAGTTCATTTATTTATCTTAATTTTTACCTTCCTTGTCTGAAATCTTTCCATCTGGACATGGAATGCACTCATAGCAACAGAATGGCTTCCCTTCCTTTACTTTCTTGCTAGTACCAGATTGGCAATGTTCAGTACATATTGAGGTTGGCTGGACCTAATTAGAAATGTAAGAAGAAAGTAAATTGGAGAATAATCATAGATTCAAAATCCTGTTGATTCTTGTTCATGTCCTTTTGTTATTAGAGTTGCAGAAGAATCTGATTTTAAAGAGTTCCCATTTCTTTGTCAAAATACTATCCTGTAGGTGGGATCTACTGCTTATTATCTGATTGCTATATAAAGATAAATAAGTACATGAATTTTTGTTTGCAAAGATTTTTTACTGACTTCCAATCTATCAGACCATGCTTATTCTGGCCAGACTTTACATTTTCATTCTTTTTTGAAAAAATCTACCAAATGTTTGGATAAATGATAAAATAATAACATTACCAAATATGCACATATATTTGTAAACTTGGTACATTATACCATTGCATATGAATGCAGGATCATTGGAAGAGGCATGAGAATCAAGACTCTTACTTTGAAGGAACTGTGCTATGAGTGTGTAACATCTGGTGGTGCAGAGGTTAGAATGCAGTACTACAGGCTACTTCTGCTGACTCCTGACTGCTAGCAGTGTGGCAGTTCGAGTCTCACCGGCTCAGGGTTGATTCAGCCTTCCATCTTTCCGAGATTGGTAAAATGATGACCCAGATTCTTGGGAGCAATATGCTGAGTCTGTAAACCCCTTAGAGAGGGCTGTAAAGCACTGTGAAGTGCTATAGAAGTTTAAGTGCAATTGCTATTGCTATCTGTGTAATGCATCTACTGTCTATATCTGTACATGTTTGGTCACCATGAACCAGTCTTACAAGCATTATTTAAATAACAAAAATTGCCAAAAGCAAGTCTCCAATAAGGAGACAGAGCCAGAAACCAGCTCCACTAAACCCACTAAGTACATTGAATATCTAAAACTTCTCCATTTATTCCATAAACATGCCCATTTTTCTTAAGGGTGCACAAGAAGGCTGAGTCACAGGAGACTGCTTGGATATAACAATAACCAGGGCTTTTTTTCTCAGAGAAAAGGTGGTGGAACTCACCTCCCTCCCCTGGCCACGCCCCCACCCAAACCTGGCCACGCCCTCATCAAACCCTAGGACCGCCCCTTTAGAGAACAGGAATGCAAGTAAAATTTGGGAGGGGCTATAAAAGTAAATGTATGGAATTACATAAAAAGCAATGCAGTAGCCTATTTCNTGAGAGCCTCTGGATTCTCTGCCGCTTCTTGCTCGGGCAGGGTCGCCTAGGAAACGGGCCAGGGGCGCGCCGACCGAGCCTCCCTATGGCCGCGGTTGTGAGCCAGGCAGGGGCAGAGAGCTGCGAGTGCGAGTGCGCCCCCCCAGATGTTGCGCCCGGTGCGGCCGGCCCGGAAAAAGGTGCCGGAACGCGGTTCCGCTGCGTTCCGGCTGAAAAAAAGCCCTGACAATAACCAATCTAATCCAGTACAATAAATGTAGTTAATCTTTAAGAAAATCAGAGCAGATCCAAGTCAGCAGTACTTAGGTGAAATCAGTTGTTATAGTAATTATACAAGCAAAGCTATTGTGCATGTTTTGGAGAAATCCCATTGCTGTTGGACTAACTCCTGACATTTTAATCTAATTTGTCTTTGGAATTATTATTTTTTGTTCTTAGCCTCTCTGATTAAAAACTCTTAATGAGCATGGATTAGATTAAAAGTTAGAAGATAAGCCTGATGCTGCAGTTAAAGGCAGATAAGCTTGGGAGGCCTGGAGAGCATGCTTATGCATATATCAACATATGAACGCATATGTGTTTGTTTGTCACAAAATATGCACACCTGGAAAGATTGTATGAACAGTAAATATTGTTCTTATTATGCTTAGTAGCTTGGTTGAAAATTGGAGAAGACTTTGTTCTTATATATAATTCAATGTATACTCTGCTTTACATTGCCATCAACACAGTTTCAGTCAATTTAAGGACATGTTCCAGGTATTGTTTCAGTAGACCTACATTTTGTTTATAGCACTTTTTCAGTTTTTCAATCAAGTGTTATTCGAATTAATCATTAAACTGAAGGATAGTGAAACTTACTTGGTTAAACCAGCTGTGCCATACTATGGCATCTTTACTGATGGTCAATGTTTCTCCTACAGTAGTTTCTCGAGCCATTTTGCCAATTTTCTTTCTACGAAAGGATAGATTTGAGGAAGTAATCCAGTTGATAAGGTCCATTCCAACTAATAACCTCCTATTCTCATCAAAGGAGATATCATCTCCAGCACTGTTGTTGAATGAGACACTTCTGAGAAAGTGATGAAGCTGGATTGAAAAGGAAAATTCAATTCAAATGAGACTTTTCTTCCTTTTCCCTGAAGGGTTTCCCTTCCTTTTCCCTTCTTTTCTTTCCCTGATTTTCTAGCATAAGGAAAGCCATAATGAGGGGAAACTTTCTATCAGGCCTTTTCATTTGTGTTGCTTAATTGTATTGCTTTATTGAAGAATTTCTCATTGCTTTATAGAGATTTTCAAAAGTTGACCACTCAGTTTCTCTGCTCACAGATTAAATGAAATATTTTTTAAAAAAACAAAATAATTTCTGTCTAGGTCAAGTGTTAGGTTTACTTCAACAGAGTTAAAATTTTTGCTCTCCATTACATCTGTAATATAAAATTGACTATATTCAAAGGAAGGCACCACCACCATCACTGCATTTATACTGCTGAATTTTCCAATATTTTTTATTTTATTCTATATCATTATGTGCAATAAATATTAGTGTTAAGCATGTTAAGCAAAATATTAGTGTTAAGAATGTTAAGCAATTTCTCTAAAATTCAAGTTCCTGTTCAAAGTATCTGCAATTTTATGGAGAACAGATGGAGAAACTAGGGATAAAATTTCTATCAAGTTTCCATACTGCAAATTTGAAGCCTTTTACCTGCAAAGAGCGCATCATTTTGGATTGATCCATTCTTGCTTTTTGTCTGAGCCTTGATGCAGTCATGGCATGCAAGGCATAGGCCACACTATAGACAGCATTATATATACTGTAGCTATGGCCAATCGTATTAATTTCAAAAAAAGGGCCAGGAACATTCTGCAGGTTCTCCTTGCCTGTGCAAATGAGTCCTACAACTTTATCCTGAATTCTATTTGGAAATGCACAGTTAAAGACATGTTGCCAGAAGTCCAGCAGAAAGCCATCCTCTTTGTTACTAAATGGCTTCTGACTTTGAATGAAATCTTGAAACCCATGAAGTTCTTTGGTGTGAATTGTAAAGGACAGAGCACCATGTAATAATTTTAAACTCCAGGTCCTTTGATAGTTCAAAACACTGAGCTCCATCTGAGTAGTCATTACCCATACTTTACCTTTTAATTGATTTATATATGATTTTTGTACTCCAAATTCAGAAATGTAGGGAAACCATATCAAAAACAAAACAGAATAAGATACTCCATAGTACACCACTATATTGGCTTTGCTGGCCATGACAACTTCGTAAATTTTTGCTTCTTGAATTAACATGTTTTCATGTTCTGCAGAGTAATTTATTCTAGGGAACATTTCTATGAAGGCAAAGCAGATGCCTTGATTAGAAAATGCTGGAATAACAGCATGCACAAATCTTTCTCCTCTGTCATCGTCCATAGCAAGGATCCCAATCCATGTCCATGAGAAATAGAGAAGCAGAGAGAGGATTCCAACATGCTGAAGATCATCTTTAGGGGCCATTTGGTAGAAAGACAGGCCTGGAGTTTTATCATTCATCTCTGGAGCTGATCCATAAATGATCTGAATATAATTCATTAAAGGAAACAGATTACTAATAGATTTGCATAGCAAATTCTGGATTTAAACCTTCTACAATTTATACATTTTTACAGAATACTATGTGTTGTTGTTGTTGTTGTTGTTGTTGTTGTTATTATTATTATTATTATTATTATTAAAATTTATATACCGCCCTATCTCCCTTACGGGACTCAGGGCGGTGAACAGGCAATAATAAAAATCACAGTAAATATTACATAAAAGCCTGCTCTAAAATATAAAACCCCTAACAAAACCCAATCAAAACTATGCCAGGCCGGCCGCATGGAACAGATGAGTTTTCAGGGCTTGGCGGAAGAGGCGCAGGTCCGCAATTGTACGTAGGTCGGGGGGCAGGTCATTCCAGAGGGCAGGAGCTGCCACAGAGAAGGCTCTCCCCTGGTGGTCGCCAGCCGGCATTGGCTGGCCGACGGTACCCTAAGGAGGCCCTCTCTGTGGGAGCGGACTGGTCGAAGGGAGATATTTGGTAGGAGGCGGTCTTGCAAATACCTAGGTCCATTGCCATGGAGCACTTTAAAAGTTGTTACTAACACCTTGAAGTGCACCCGGAAGGCCACCGGCAGCCAGTGCAGCTCGCGCAGGAGAGGTGTTACATGGGAGCATCTAGAGGCCCCCAAAATGTGATGGTTTAAGACAATGGAGAACCTCAGGATCTTCAGACAATTTTAAAATAAAGTTTAGAACACTTCTTGTCATCACTGGCATTGATCCAGTATCATCCCAAATACTGATATGTTAAAAAAATGTTGCTTCCATGATCTATGGCCATTTCTATGAATTCTAGCTTTACCCCAAGTACACTTGCAATGATGTAGAGATTAGAAGTCACCCTTCCATTAACTTTTTGTTTATCTTCTGTTCTATTGTGTCTGATTCAGAGATCGACTGGACAAATCCCTGCAGTTTAAGAAGTAGTTTGTCATTGCCTCCTTCCTAGGCCCCAAAGAAAATGACTAGCCCAAGGTTACCCAGATGGTTTTGTGCCTAAGGTAGGATTAGAATTCACAGTCTCCCAGTTTCTAGCTGGCTACCGTACTCACTACACCAAACTGTTTCTTCCATCAATTTACTTAATGGTAAAAAAGCAGTAAATTTATATTTTTGGAGACAATAATATAAGATGGCAGACATTTATTTGACAAAATACTGTCTCCACCCAAAATTTAACAGTAGTGGATGGATACATTTTATATTTAAAATTATTCTCAAAATTTTTACTAGTTCAGGAATTGTTGAACAGCATAAATAATCATAAACTACTGAAGAACTATTTATTAAAAGATTTTAGACAAGATAAAATCTTGTCTAAAGCAGGCTTAAGTTAGCAAAGTGGTATTGATTTCATAAAGATAGAAAATTGATGTTATCTTATTTTCAGGCTCCCACATCCCAGCCCCTGAACCTAACTTTCATAGAACTTCATTTTCAGATAATGCTAAGAGACTATTTGGATGGAAGATACAAAGGATTACCAATTACACATTTTAACACATTTGTGATAATTCATAAATGGAAGATCTGATCCACTATTACATCACAAATATATCACAAATCAAAAGTTAGATTTATTGTGTTTTTGTATTCCCAACTGAATCATCCCAGCAGAGAAGTAAAAATCAATTTCCTACTAACTGATGTACATAAACAAGTAACAAAACAAGTAGCATTGTTTGCAATGGCCACAAGGAGAATATGAATGCAGACATTGACAGATAATGATATCAATTATAAAGGAATGAATTGAAATCATGCAGAATGTTGTAATTTCATATTATTTTTTGCTGGAAACTATGGTTGTAAATAAATGTAGTATATATAAAACATTGCTTAAAATACTTTTCAGTGATGCATATCAGAGCATAACATAATAGTTACACTAGCATTTCAATAGCCATAGTCACAGTAAAGAATTATGGGTCAGTACTTTATGTAAAATTGAAAATGTCCTTCTTACCTTCTCTGCCAAAAATGGCTCACAGAAAGTCATGGACAGCAAGAGGAAGCTAGGATTTAAACCCATAACCTTTGTAAGCATTACAAAATATTAGGTATTTGTCTCTATCATGTAGATCCCATTAAAACAGGAGCACAAAGTATATAATAGTATTGCTGGCTTCAGGAAATAAGTTATGATATAAATTCAGAGAAAGATTGAGGGCAATAGAAGAAGGGGATGACAGAGAATGAGGTGGCTGGATGGAGTCACTGAAGCAGTAGCCATGAGCTTAAATGGACTCCAGAAGATGTTAGAGGACAGGAAGGCCTGGAGGAACATTGTCCATGGGGTCATGATGGGTTGGACATGACTTCGCAACTAACAACAACAATAAATTCAGAAGGATTATATGTGAAAGAACATTCTATAAAACATTACTTGCACTTTTGTCTAAATATACTTAAATCAGTCAAAAAGAAAATAATACGAAATGATTTGCTCTACTTGACCACATCTCAGGCATACTGCTTCACATGTTCATGCACAAACACAAAATGCATATATATTTGTATATGGTAGCAGTCAGTCCCAATCTGATATCAATCTGAACTCTTTGGACTGCAACCATCTCCAATGTTTGTAAATAGAATTCTGAGAATTTTGATTTCACATATAAGAAGTGAGATTGGGAAGACTGTTTTGCAGTGCATCACCTTAATATGGTGTAGAATTCACTCTGTCATCTTCATCCTGTTTGCCTCTTCAATCCCATCAGAAGCCCCAACCTCACTCTAAGATCTTGTGAAAATTTCCATCACAATAGCAGTATTCCAATATCTAAGGGGCTGCCACAAAAACAAGAGGGTCAACCTATTCTCCAAAGCACCTGAAGAAAGAATAAGAAGCAATGGATGGAAACTAATCAAGGAGAGAACCAAGCTAGAACTCAGGACAAATTTCCTGAGAATAAGGATTTCCTGAGAAAAATAAGGAGAAATTTTCCACTATTAATCAGTGGAACAGCTTGCCTTGAGAAGTTGTGGGTGTTCGATCACTGGAGGTTTTTAAGAAGAGATTGGACAATCAGTTATCTGAAATAGTAAAGGTCTCCTGCTTGAGCAGCAGATGAGACTAGATTTCCAAGGTCCTTTCCAACTCTGTTCTTCTGTTCCTCATCCTAGTCTAAAACATGAGTAAATTTTTTTGAACCCATTTCTTCAACTAAAGAGCTCCCATCTCATAATGTCAGTCTGAACCACCATCAAATTGATTATGGAAACCTTTATATCTGCCAACAAAAATAATGTTTAATGGATAATTTCCAGGTCATAAGTGATCCTAAGAGGAAAGACATTTCAAACATTTTTAAAGAAAAAAAATGTAATACCTTGGATCAAGGCATGAAAAAGTGAAGTTTAGTAGGTGCAACCAACTGTCCATATTCTCCCAACTAGCAATTGATCCCCATGGGATCTATACAGTATGCCTTGCTGAAAATACTTCTACATGATGAAAGGGATAGATGAATATTAAATTGCCTGTCAGACAATGAATTCTAGATTTTACGATCTTGTGATTATACATTGAGTTATACTATTGCCTAAAAACCCATATTTATAAGAGGGAAGACTGTAAAATGTTTCCCTTTCTTTTGATTCTAAAGAAAAGGAAGATAAGTGAGCCTACTATATTGTTTTATTCCCTTTACTGGAATATATTCAGAGGAACACATAATTCACATTTCTTTCTGTTCCATTCTGATTTTTTTTTTTACTGGAGGAATTCTGATAGAAATTTGGCAGTATAAAATCTTAGTTATCCTGCCATATCTAAATTTGTAACAATATATTAGCTCAAATGCCCAGGTAGGGTGGATCATCTAATCAATGTTTGCTATTCTCTGAAATAGGGGTCCCCAACCCCAGTCCATGGACCAGTACCAGGCTGCAGTATGCCAGAAACTGGTTCCCACAAAGCCCCATCTATGGGATGCAGGCAGCACACAAAACCATGGACTCTGGAAAACCTCTCTCCATGGAACCAGTCCCTGGTGCCCAAAAGGTTGGAGACCTCTGCTCGAAAACAAAAGTAGGGATCAGTTTAGTTAATACAGTGATGAAAGCTATTAGGATTCCCAGGGTTGTGTACTAGAACTGAGAAATGAGCAGCCATTATATAGAGAGAAAACAAACCATTTCTTTATTTGAATTTACATGAAAATTACACAGGTAAATTCATACGGTCATTAGGAACTGAGCTTGATCTGGAAGAGATGTTATCATTCTTCTAGTAATTGAGTATGATATGTGGATTTCCAGAGGATTAAATATTTTCTATCTGATACTAGTTTCCTTCAACTAATTATTTTTCAAGCTAGAATAGTTCTGTAAGTAGTTTTATTTTAAAATGTTTATTTATAAATAAATGAATACATAACTTTACTTATTCATGTGTGTTTCATCTACATAAAATTTAAGACCTGCCTGATTATCCCTGATCCACTTATTTCAGTCTCTATGAATAGAAAATTCCAATAAGAAAAGATAAGAATGAAAAGAAACCTATGAAAGGCTAAAGATATTGTATAATATCTAGGAGGGAGGAGAGACTATAAGTTTGTCATCTCCTTCCTTCCTTCCTTCCTTCCTTCCTTCCTTCCTTCCTTCCTTCCTTCCTTCCTTCCTTCCTTCCTTCCTTTTGATTTGTTCTATGTCTTTTATTCTATGAAAAATAATCTTAATATAAATAAATTAAGAACAAAATGAAACCTAATTCCCATATTATAGTGTAAGAGAAAAATCATTATCTTACCTGTGGAATTTTATAGATATCCAAAATATTTGCTATATGAAAGGAAGTTTCGGCATCAAGTCCTCCAATGACTACTATTAAGTTATTTTGGATACCACATTTATAATTGGGAATGAATCTATCTGACATTAGCTGTATTGTGGCACGATATGTTCTCTTTGCATTGAAATAGCTGTCATAGATGTGGAAACCCAAGGAAAAATTAGGTAGCAACTGGAAATTTTCATTTATTTCCTTTACTGCAAATGCCAAAGCCAGGATATGCTGATAATGCTTAGTCAGGATGCTAGAACAAGAGTTGCATTATGATCAGCAGGATAGATTATAACCCACTTATTTCTAAATATTTCACATTTAATTTACATTATTATTATTATTATTATTATTATTATTATTATTATTATTATTATTATTATTATTATTATTATTATTGAAACAAACCTTACTCTGGGAGTTATGTAATGATAACAGATAAACTTTATCAATGTAAGTTTTAATTATAAGTAGAGTATTTCCTATGAATTCTTACTGTCTTTTATTCTAGATGGTTATTTATAAAACAATTTAATTATCCGATTCAAATGCATATTGAGAATTACATACCTATGTAATAATAATATCAGCCAAAGATATTAGGGTCAAAAATACAGGGTTCATTCAATAGAAATTGAAAGGAGGGGCTCCAAATACTGCATGGCTATCTTATCAAATTTTGGCCAAACAGCAATACATGTTACTTTTAAAAAAGGAAGTTTCATAAGACCCACGTTGTATCTATGTGTTCATTTCAAAGAAAGTGCTGATAGTGTATGTATTATTCAAAGGTTGAAAAATCAGAACATATCAGTTCTAAATGGAAAGCCAGTTTGTTACAGTGATTAAACAGGCTAGAAACCATAACCATGAATTCTAGTCTGTGAATTTTAGTCCTGCCTTGGGCAAAAAGCCATCTGGGTGACCTTGGACTAGTCACACTCACTCATCCCCAGGAAGGAGGCAATGGCAAACCACTTCTGGAAAAAAAATACCAAGAAAACTTCAGGAACGTGTCTAGACAGTTTCTGAAGATTGGACACAATTGAATGGAAGGGGAAAAAGTTATATAAATAGGGTAAGATCAAAATTACTGCTAATTGATTCTTTCTTTACAAGAAATCTTGGAATCAGCTGATTATGATAGCAAAATGACTGGATGACTTAATAAGATCTCTATTTCTGATCACATATAATGAAAATCTACAGTGTTTGATGGGATACACAATAAAACTAATTATCCCTAGGACAAATATACAAGTGATTTGATGGCAATGAAAAAAAGAATAGGTCAGTGCATAGGAGAAGAGGGAGTGGAATGACAGAAAATTTACTAAGGAAAAAACATTTAAAGGTATTTAAAATTAAGCAACTAATTTACTGCTAACTCAATATTTTATATAGCAACTTACTTCTTAGTAAGCAGGCAGCAGACTGCTGTATCCATCTTAAGCTGTAGATTTAAGTGGGAAAAAGGAGAAATTCCTTACCTAAGATCTTGGTATACCACTGGTGGAGGTTCTACATCAAAAGTCAGGGGATCAGAAACAATAAAAGTCAGAGAAACAACAGCACCAATGATGAGATCTCCAAGCTTATAATACTTATGAACTGGAGGTTGTGGATCACAGACATAATATCTGAGTACATAAGCATGGCAAGCTATTTGAGAAAGTAGCAGCATCAATATTATCATCATTTTGAGTACAAATACAAATGATCTAAATCGGACCTCTTTTTTAAAACTACAATGTTTTAATTACAATCATGATTAAAATAATTTGGATGAATAGGCATCTCAAGTTTTTCAAGTTATTTAACTGGAATATATAAAGTAGGAAATCTGAGACCACAAAAGAATATATATTTTTTGTCTCAAATCTTTAGCTGTGCTAAATGTCATAGTCCTTTTGTTAAGGTATAATGAAACTGCACAAGAGAATTTGACAAACAGCAGGATTAATTAGTGATTAACTCATAATAATCACTTTACATTTGGGAAATCCTGGTACTTAATTTGTTTATCACAAATGAGCAGAACCTTTCCAGGCCTATCAAGGGACAATTGGGTCTAAAATGATTTGTCTCAAGAAACAGATACATAAATTATAGGAGTATTATTTGGGGCTACAGAAGACATGTTGATGCATAAAAAAGTCTTTTAGTTTGGCATTCTTAAATGTTTTCAAATGTTAATGTCTGAAATGCTGAGTCAATAGTTTTGACTGTTGTCATTCTAATCATTGAAAAGTGACCAGGTTGGGGAAGGATCGATATATTTTGTTTTTAATAAATATTTTATTAATTTTCTATTTTTTCAATCAAGTGCCTAATAGACAACATGGTGACTAAGTCCATTAGTGATTCCGTGGTACGTGTAAGATTCTTCAAACTAAATCCAATATTACACCATCCAGTATATCCTCTCTTCTTCTGGTAGTAGACATTTTTCCACACTAAGCAAATACAATTCTTATTGCTATGAGTAAATATACAATTGCCTATCAACATTTCTTACATTTTTCTAATAGTGTCAATGATATCAGCTTAGAATATCTTTTCTAACCAAAGGATATCTTAATTTCATTTGCACCCAATATTCATTTATTCAATCTATATCCTATTTTTACATTTTTCAATTTTAATTCCCCATCCATATCATCATCCACAGACAAATGGCAGGATAGAATGATCAAACTTGGTGCTGGAGAAATACATGGGTTGTTTTATTAATTATCAACAAGATGACTGGATGGGCCTCTTGCCATTTGCTGAAGTAGCTTATAACAATGCTGTTCACACCAGTACATTTTAACTGGTGACTGGGCAAGAATTTAATCCAATGCTTGAACTACCAGCCCAGGAAACCATGATCCCCTCTTTAAAAGAGTGGATCAATCAATTGAAAAATATGTGGCCCATTGTAAGCAAAGTCTTGGTAGATGCGCGGGCAGCTTATAAAGCCCAAGCTGACAAAAAGAGAGTGAAACCTAAACCATTCCACATTGGGGACCGTGTATATTGTCCTCCCAGTTCCTTCAGTCCCTATAAATGTCATGGTTCCAATAGATGAGACCAACTAAAACAGAACTCCTAGGCTTGAGGTTTCTTTTAAGAATATGTTTATTGGCTACAAAGTATCAGCACTGTCGAAAGTGAAACCAAGGCTAAAGTTTCCTCCAAAAAGTTACAGTATACAAAGTTAAACTTCCCACCCCATTACTATGCAATCAACTACATTTCCCAATAGATTAGTTTGGCAAGCTTTCTAACAGAAAGCCCAACCTTCCAATCTAACAAACAGAAATGACTTTGGTTCTCCCAGGATGGATAATTGTTTAAGCTAGCAGAAAAATTCCACCACCACCCTCCCATTCTGGTAGCAACTGAAAACGAGCCAAATGGCTTCATTCAGGTTTGTTGCAGAGTTGACAACAACATTCAAAGAAGCTAGGACCAAAATATATAGGGCCTTTAACCCAATCACAGTGGAATTAGAACTACCAAAATAATTGAGAAAAGTCCACTCAGTGTTCCACTGCACCATTCCTTAAACCAGAGGTAGTATTGCCTTAAGGCCAGTACCCCCTCCAGACTCTGAGTCTCTTATGATGGAGGGAAAACAGCATTTTGGTATTAAAGAAATCTTAGACTCACACCCTGGAGAGCCACCCAGTACCTACAAACATAGAAAAATCTTTCTGGGGCTCAGCTTAAGAGTTGGTGCAGAAGAATCATGTAAAAGCTGCTAGACTAATCAAAAACTTTCATGACCATTACCCTGATAAACCTAAATGAAAACTTAACCACTATTTCATTTCTCCTGTCTGTTATTTTTCTCTTTCCAGGTGGATCTTCTTTTAAGGGGGCAGAATGTCAGGTCCCTTCAGAACGCTGTCATAATGAAGGGGAAGGCGAGCACATATTGGTGTGGATTGAAGATGTTTCTGTATTACTAGCATTTATTTCTACTCTTGCTTTCATGTATCTACATGGGAATTAGGGAGAGGGGGATACCCTTGGAGCCATCTGTTTTCACTCCTCCAACCTGGAAGAAACAAGGCTCCTGGGAAACAGCCGGATATCACCTTTTTGGCTCAAAGTTCTCATAGCACCTTCATGCCAGCAGATTGACTCCTGATAGACTGGGACATTGGGGTGACACTGACAAAATGGGACTTTTAGCTTAATGTTTTTGCACGGGAACTTCAGATTCTGCCTTTTTACTCTGCAATCACTATCTCTCAATAAAAGATCCTCTTTGAAACAATGCCTGTTTCCTGGGTTGTTCAATTATATTCTATTGCTTGTGTTTGCATTATGTTGAATTCCAATATGAAGTGGTCACTCTCATCCAAGGTTCCAGCAGCTTCAACTCTCTCTATCACTTCTTCTCTTTTAATAAGAATTAGGTCCAGTATAGCTTTTTCTATAGTTTCCTCCTTTGAAAAGGTATTTCAATTACCTTTTGAAGAAAAACAATAGTAGAAAAGCAGTATGTCTCTACCATTGAAAGGAAATGATGGACTATGCAGACTTTTGGCCTAATCAAGGAAGACTATACTTCCCTTCCTATACTACATTAATGTCCGAAGATTTCCAGAACTTCCTGGTTCCACACTTAATAAAATTCAAATGAAGGAAATCCTCCTACAAGTACATTTTAGATTGGAAGAGGGAACCTTCAGAATGATGGAAACATGAGCCACTAAAGACAACTTCAACATCAATAGCATCTCCTGCTGCCTCTAAGAAAGCTTTTCAGAAATAACAAAAAATAAAAAAACTATTTTCAAGTTAATTTCAATCACCATAAGAATGAGTAGAAAATCAGGAGCCTTTTTCATTTTCACTGAAGCTGGATCAACTGCAGGGCAGAATTCAGCACAACTTGAAATTATTGGCTGCACTTACCAGATTGTGACATTAAAATTCTTTAAAATCCAGTTTAAAATCTTCCTTTCTAGATGTGAGATATATATTAAGAGCAAGAACTGGTTTCTCTTCTTTACTTGCTTGCTAAACCAGGGTGAAATTTGGAAATTTCTTGGCTGCCTATGCATGCCAATGCTATATCTTGTAAATCCCTTTCTCTTGATTACAACAGGAAATCGTCAAAATTTCAGTTTTATTCATTGCAACTAAAATAGCTATGTTTTTCTTTCTGTTTTCTCTTATAGCTGAAAACTGTATTAAGCAAATTTTTATACTAGCCCTATTTTCCCTAGTATTCTGTGACATCAGAAATTTATTTCAGGCCTTTTATCCACTGAACCCATACTACCTATTCATTAAATAAAAATATAACTTTGTTTAAAGAATTCATATGACTACTAATTTCAGAATGGTGGCTCTGGGCAGCATACATTGATTTAAAGAGTAATACATATAAAGCACACCTGGCTGTGCGTGCGCACAGTGTGAAAGGAAATTGGGGGAGATAAGGCTAACAAGGACAAGAGGGGCTGAGCCTAAGAGCAAGCCAATAGGCATCCCCACCGGTTGTGGGCAGATGGAGCAGAAGGATGAGGCTCGATGGAGCGTGCACACACCCGGGGGTGAAGGGAAATCGGAGAAAAAAAGACTGACAGGAATGGATGACGGAAGGCAGGAACAGCGTGCAGACCAACAGGCTAGAAAGGAAGGGAGCACTGATGGCAAGCCTTTTGGAACACTGGATCTGAATGCGCAGCCTGGAATGAGCAGGAGGGAGCGGTTAGAGAGCACACCGGCAGCAATGGTGCTGGGAGGGAGGAGATTGACAAGGATGAGAGAAGGGAAAAGTGTGGAATTGGAGTGCAAAAAAGAGAAGGCGAGACAACCAAGGCAATTACAGTTAATCAGGAAGGATGGCCCTATCACACGGGCAATGAGTAAGCAGTTAGACCAGCAAGGTGTATAAAAAGAATCTCCCCACTCCCTGAGCTTCACTCTGAGGACACTGGCAGGGGACCAGCGAAAGTTAAGTTGTTTCTTTTAACATTGTAAATAGTTGTTTTTATTGTTTTTAAATATCTTTTTAGCAATAAACAACTGGTTTATACCTCTCCCGGAGATTGAAGGTTGTGTTATTGAACAAATATGCCTGGGATTTGCATTTTTGCAGCTATCAAGGACATATATATATATATAGTCATCGGTCCATCCAATGTCCCTAATTGTTTTACTTTTAAAAGGCACGCATTGGCTGTTCCCTTGGTGGTTTCCAAGGCTGCTGTTCCCTTATCTACTTTCCTTCCTCCAATCCCTTCCCTCATGCATACACCACTGTCTGCTATCACACCACTAATTTCTAAAGCTGCTGTTCTCCCTTCCCCCTTCTTTTCGCCGATCGCTTTCTTCGTGTGTATCCAATTGTCTGCTTCCACCCCATTGATTTCCGGACTTGCTGCTCCCTCCTCCCCCTTTTTCCCTCCGATCGTTTTCCTCATATGCCTACGGTTATCCACTGTAACTCCACTGGTTTTTAAAGTTGTTGCTCTCTCCTCCCCCTTTCTCCCAATAGTTACTTTGCTTGTGTGCCTCCAACTATCACATTGTGCTAAACGTTTTTGCTCATTCCCTTTCCTCATCTCCATCCCAGGTCGTATCTGTTCTTTCTCTATAGGGCTGTTAGCAGGCTGTGTATCCAACCCGGTCCTCTTGCTCTTTCACCCTGTTGT